CAAGTGTAGCAACACAAGTGTAGCAACACAAGTGTAGTAACACAAGTGTAGCAGCACAAGTGTAGTAACACAAGTGTAGCAACACAAGTGTAGCAAAACAAGTGTAGTAACACAAGTGTAGCAACACAAGTGCAGTAACACAAGTGAAGCAACAAAGGTGTAGCAACACAAGTGTTGTAACACAAGTGTAGCAACACAAGTGTAGCAACACAAGTGTATCAACACAAGTGTAGCAACACAAGTGTATCAACACAAGTGTAGTAACACAAGTGTTGCAGCTCAAGACAAGTGTAGCAGCTCAACACAAGTGTAGCAAGACTCACATCACATCTGCAGGTCACTAGAGCACCTGTATCATGCAGGTCACTACAGTACCTGTATCATGCAGGTCACTACAGTACCTGTATCATGCAGGTCACTACAGCACCTGTATCATCAGGTCACTACAGTACATATATCATGCAGGTCACTAGAGTACTTGTATCATGCAGGTCACTACAGTACCTGTATCATGCAGGTCACTACAGCACCTGTATCATCAGGTCACTAGAGTACTTGCATCATGCAGGTCACTAGAGTACCTGTATCATTCAGGTCAATACAGTACCGGTATCATCAGGTCACTACAGTACCTGTATCATTCAGGTCAATACAGTACCGGTATCATCAGGTCACTACAGTACCTGTATCATTCAGGTCAATACAGTACCGGTATCATCAGGTCACTACAGTACCTGTATCATTCAGGTCAATACAGTACCGGTATCATGCAGGTCACTAGAGTACCTGTATCATTCAGGTCAATACAGTACCGGTATCATCAGGTCACTACAGTACCTGTATCATTCAGGTCAATACAGTACCGGTATCATCAGGTCACTACAGTACCTGTATCATTCAGGTCAATACAGTACCGGTATCATCAGGTCATAACAGTATCTGTATCATACAATATAAAGTTCATTTTTTTTATTATTATTCTTTTGCTACCTTAACTTGTGTATTTTATCCTGTCAATTTAAATCTAGTTATACTCTAATTCTTGTAAACAACTTATATAACACCTTAGTGCAATTACAAATGAGAGTCTTGTGCCTTTTTTATATTATTAGATTAAACACAGTTGTACTATAGTCAATACCAAATTCATTATATTAGACCATATTGCAATTACTAGTGAGAGACTGGTGCTATTTTTAATTTGTATTTTTATATTATTAAATTAAATCTAGTTGTACTATAGCTCATTCTAGCTCAAAACATAGACTCCACAAAAGTCATTATATTAGACCTTAGTGCAATTACAAGTGAGAGTCTTGTTCTATTTTAAATTTGTATTTTTATATTACTAGTTTATACCTAGTTGTACTTTAGTTCATTCCAGCACAACACATAGACAACATCAACTTCATTATGTGTAGTAGTGACTATACTCTATATGACCAAATACTCTAGCTATATACTTATCCAAACTTCCACACACTACAGATATCAGTACTAGAACTAACACATAACTCAGGATATAAATAACCATAATTTAAACCTAGAAGATGATTGATCACGTTGACCCTGATCTAAACTCCATAATCTGACACCCAATCAAAACCTATTGGAAAGTAACTGCCTTTATTACACAGCAACACAAGCCAGCACTATCCTAAACAATGCTAAAAGTCTATCAGTACTTAACTACAACATCAGGTCCTTAAGCAAACACTATGATGACCTCCTGGCACTCCTTGAATCACTAAAGACACCCTTCTCCTGCATTATTCTTACTGAGACCTGGCTTAAGCAGGACACAATAGATATCTACCCTCTACCAGGATACACAGCAATTCACAACTGCAGACCAAAATAAGTTGGGGGTGGTATTGCAATCTATTACTCTAACCAATTATCTTGCTTTAGTGATGAATATGGGGAATACATTTTTGCTAATTTTACTGTAAAAAACCTTAAGACACCTATAACAATCGGTGCCATTTACCGGATACCTCACAAACATCCCAAATTTCAGTGAGAAATTAAAGTCACTAATAACAAACAGACAAATGAATAAGCACCACCTTCTCTTAGCTGGAGACTTCAACATCAACCTTGGCTTACTAGATGATCAGCCTGTAACTGATTTCATCAACAATATGAACAACACACTTCTCATACCAACAATAACTAAACCAACCAGGCTCACTGAGACAAGTGCAACCATAATAGACCACATATGGACCAATATACTAGCCCCCCTTAAATCAGGGATAATCACAGATAGCACTACAGACCACTACCCTACCTTCCTCTTGACAAACATTAGTAAACCACCACTTGAACACAACAAAGTCTCATTTAGACTCCATGACGAGGCCTCAATAAGGAAGTTCACAGCTGACCTAGAGATTGTTGACTGGCCTACAGAATTCTCCCAAAGCCAATGGTATTGATGACTGGACAGACATTTTTCTTAACAAATTACTTAGACTATAAAAACAAACATTGTCCTATAAAAACGAAACAGATCACAAACAAACGGTTTGGTTGCCCATGGCTAACCAGCACCATTCGAAATCCATGACAAAAAAACCCCAAATAGAAAAGCAATATAGACAGGGCTTAATACACAAAGATATTCTTAAACACTATTCATCAGTTCTCAAACCCAAAATAATAAAGAAAGCCAAACAAACTATACTACTCCCCGTAGATTCACAGACACTAGAGGAGTATAAAGAAACCTGGAAAACACTTTTCTCAGATTCTAGGGACCCACAAACTGAAAAAAAAAAAAGAATATTGTCCTAACTAAACCTAATGGAACACCACTACATCCCACTGACACAGCTAACAAAATAAACGACTTCTTCTTTAACCCTAGGATCTAATCTCGCCAATAAAATCCCACATAACCAATGCCATTGCCGGGGACTACCTAGATGGGAATTTCCCAAATTCCTTATATCTTGCACCAACTGAGCCCTCGGAAGTCACCGAGATTATAAAGTCACTTAAAACAACTCAGGGAATCTGTCTAATGTCCCACCATTACTGTACAAGCGAGCAGCCCAAAATCCTTTCGCATGCTATTTCATTACTTTTTAACAAGTCACTAGAAACTAGCACCTTCTCGAAACTACTCAGATGGCAAGGGTTACACCAATACATAAAGGTGGTGACCCCACAGACTTAAACAACTAAAAGGCCAATATCAAACTTACCATTGCTATCCAAAATCTTTGAGAAACTCGTGCACAGGAGACTATATTATTTATAACAGCACAAAACATACTCAACCCCCGCCAATTTGGATTCAGGAAAAATAAAAGCACTAATGATGCAATCATAAAAATGCTAGATCTGCTTTACACAGCTTTGGGAAAAAAGGAATATCCACTAGGAATTTTATTGACCTAAGAAAACCTTTTGACACAGTAGACCACGACATCCTACTCCACAAACTTGACCTTTAAACGGTATAAGGGGCCATGCGCTTGCTTATTTCAAATCTAAACCCTTTCTAATAGGTATCAGTATGTCACCATTAAAGACACAGCATCAACAACACGGCCACTTGATACTGGAAGTTCCGCAGGGAAGTGTCCTTGGTCCCCTGCTCTTCCTCATATACATCAATGATCTTCCAAGCGTATCCCAACACCTGAAACCCATTCTCTTTGCTGACGACACGACTTATGTCATCTCTCACCCTAATCTTGGCCACCCTCAACACCATTGTTAACGAGGACTGATCAAAATATCGACTTGGATGACAGCCAATAAACTTACGCCAATAAACTGGTAAACATGAGGAAATTAAATCTTCATCAGAGTACAAAACAAATTCTGGCCACAAAATAGAGCGAAACACCAACGTCAAAGACCTGGGAGTGATCATGTCGGAGGATCTCACCTTCAAGGACCATAACATTGTATCAATCGCATCTGCTAGAAAAATGACAGGATGGATAATGAGAACCTTCAAAACTAGGGAGGCCAAGCCCATGATGACACTCTTCAGGTCACTTGTTCTATCTAGGCTGGAATATTGCTGCACACTAACAGCACCTTTCAAGGCAGGTGAAATTGCCGACCTAGAAAATGTACAGAGAACTTTCACGGCACGCATAACGGAGATAAAACACCTCAATTATTGGGAGCGCTTGAGGTTCCTAAACCTGTATTCCCTGGAACGCAGGAGGGAGAGATACATGATTATATACACCTGGAAAATCCTAGAGGGACTAGTACCGAACTTGCACACGAAAATCACTCACTACGAAAGCAAAAGACTTGGCAGACGATGCACCATCCCCCCAATGAAAAGCAGGGTGTCACTAGCACGTTAAGAGACCATACAATAAGTGTCAGGGGCCCGAGACTGTTCAACTGCCTCCCAGCACACATAAGGGGGATTACCAACAGACCACTGGCAGTCTTCAAGCTGGCACTGGACAAGCACCTAAAGTCAGTTCCTGATCAGCCGGGCTGTGGCTCGTACGTTGGTTTGCGTGCAGCCAGCAGCAACAGCCTGGTTGATCAGGCTCTGATCCACCAGGAGGCCTGGTCACAGACCGGGCCGCGGGGGCGTTGACCCCCGGAACTCTCTCCAGGTAAACTCCAGGTTAACACTGACAAAACCTACTATATTATGTTTTGTAGCAGAGCAGGAGATGCACAAATTAACATTAAGATCGACAACACTCTAATTACCAGACATAATGAGGGCAAATTCCTAGGCCTATACCTTGACAACAACCTGAATTTCAGCACCCATATCCAACACATAACCAAAAAATTATCCAAAACGGCTGGGATCCTCTCCAAGATACGATATTACGTGCCGCAAAATGCCCTTCTCACACTATACCACTCACTTATTTATCCATACCTCACCTATGCTATTTGTGCTTGGGGATCAACTGCAGCAACACACCTAAAGCCAATAATAACCCAACAAAAAACTGCAGTAAGAATAATCACTAAATCCCATCCCTGGCAACACCCCCCCCCCCCACTCTTCATAGATCTAAACTTACTCCCTGTTCAGTACATCCATACTTACTACTGTGCAATCTACATCTACAGGACCTTAAACTCCAATATCAACCTTGACCTAAAACGCTTTCTTGATAGTTGTGACAGAACCCAAAGGCATAACACCAGACACAAACATCTCTACGACATTCCCCGTGTCCGACTAAACCTTTACAAAAATTCAATGTATGTCAAAGGCCCTAAAATCTGAAACACCCTACCTGAGAACTCTAGAACTGCAGACACATTCATCACCTTCAAAACTACCATTAGAAAACATCTTATCTCCCTGATACACCCCATCAACTAACTACACGAATACCACCTGGTGGTTCACACTTACACTCACTCACCCATTTGACCATAAACAGAAATATTAATCTCAATCTTAAAATAATGAATCCTATGATACTCCAATACTGAAACTATGTACTGTGCCAAAACAAAAGCATTCACATTGCTAAACTCACAAACTAGTATTTAGTCACTTAGCCATAATACCAACTTACCTCATAATTTGTAATATTTTCAAATAAAGAATTAAACTAAGTCTGCCCGAAATGCCTAGCCATGCTAGGCGTTCTAGTGGTACACTCTGTAATGCATAGCCATGCTAGACCTTCTAGTGGTACACTCTGTAATGCACAGCCATGCTAGGCGTTCTAGTGGTACACTCTGTAATGCCTAGCCATGCTAGGCGTTCTAGTGGTACACTCTGTAATGCCTAGCCATGCTAGGCGTTCTAGTGGTACACTCTGTAATGCCTAGCCATGCTAAGCGTTCTAGTGATACACTCTGTAATGCCTAGCCATGCTAGGCGTTCTAGTGGTACACTCTGTAATGCCTAGCCATGCTAGGCGTTCTAGTGGTACACTCTGTAATGCCTAGCCATGCTAGGCGTTCTAGTGGTACACTCTGTAATCATTATTTAACTATATGTAAACCACACAACAACCAAATTCTGTAAATTCAACATTGTAATCTTCATAGAGAATAAGCTTTGAATTTGAATTTGAATTTGAAAAGACAATTTTTTCAGCTTTATGAGCAATTTAGTCACTGAATGGTGTGTTTGGTGGGTCAGGTCAACCGAAGGGATGTGTGGAGGGTCAGGTCAAACAAAGGGATGGGTATAGGTCTAGTTACCCCAAGGAGAAGGTGGTAGGTCAGATCAGCCAAAGAGATGGGTGATAGGTCTGGTCAACCAAAGGGACGGGGGTAGGTCAGGTCAACCAAAGGGATGTGTGGTGAGTCAGGTCAACCAAAGGGACGGGTGGTGGGTCAGGTCAACCAAAGGGATGGTCAGGACAGTTACACTCTGGGCCGCCCACACCAGCCTTACAAGCTTCCTCACAAAACCCCACTAGAGGATCTATCGTAGTAGTGGAAGATGGAGAAGTTGCTCTCAGGTCAGAGCCAATCCTCTTACTGTCTGGGGCAAGTTGCTTTATGCTGGGGACACTTCCCTTCCTGCTTGAGGCTCCTTCCTCTCTGCTTGGGGCTCCTTCCTCTCTGCTTGGGGCTCCTTCCTCTCTGCTTGGGGCTCCTTTCCCTCTGATTGGGGCTCCTTCCCCTCTGCTTGGGGCTCCTTCCTCTCTGCTTGGGGCTCCTTTCCCTCTGATTGGGGCTCCTTCCCCTCTGCTTGAGGCTCCTTCCTCTCTGCTTGGGGCTCCTTTCCCTCTGATTGGGGCTTCTTCCCCTCTGCTTGAGGCTCCTTCCTCTCTGCTTGGGGCTCCTTCCTCTCTGCTTGGGGCTCCTTCCTCTCTGCTTGGGGCTCCTTTCCCTCTGATTGGGGCTCCTTCCCCTCTGCTTGAGGCTCCTTCCTCTCTGCTTGGGGCTTCTTCCTCTCTGCTTGGGGCTCCTTCCTCTCTGCTTGGGGCTCCTTCCTCTCTGCTTGGGGTAGTTATCCTCTTCTTATTGCTAGTTATGTCACTCTTCTTGATGACAACAGATGGGGACTCAGAAAAATTTGGTTTATGAACGACAGTTACAGAAAGACTGAGTTCATCAACGCCAAGTTCATTTAGGCCGGGTTCATCAACGCCAGGTTCATCTAGATCGGCTTCATGACGGCCTAGATGAACCTGGACGGGTTCATCAAGGCTGGCTTCATTAATGGTCCTCCTGGGCAGACACCAACCAGTTGGTAGAGTTGCAGCAGCAACGATAAAACAAGCCACCAACACCACCATCTGCCTCAGCCTCACCAACATCTCTGTGGAAACATAAATAATACTCTATGACATATTTAATTTAAAAAATCACTAACATTTTTTAGGTTAAGACATTTGAAAGTAATCAGAAGCAGCAAGACTGAGCTACAAAGTTCAAGGTTTTAACTGACTTATATCCACAAACTTCAACTGTTCTCTCTTTCTCCTGGTTACGTCATCTCCTCTGTTTTATGCTTAGATTTAATTTACGTTTAATAGCTAATCCTAGTTTAAACTCTCCCAGTCTTACCTAGATACAGCCTCTACGGTGTCTCGTAGCTCGGTTGGTAGCGCACTTGACTCACACATTGAGTGTCCGTGGTTCGATCCCGGTACGGGTGGAGACATGGGGCGTGTTTCCCTAAGACATCTGGCAGTTAGTAGGTACCTGGGTGTTAGCCGACTGGTGTGGGTCGCATCGTGGGGACAAAAATTTACCAAAATGCTCTGCATAACCAGGGACTTCCTATATAGTGGTGTCCCCGATGTCTGTATAAGTTGTACCACGTGCTTGTAGAAATAAAGATTATTATTATTATTATTATTATTATTATTATTTATTATTATTATTATTATTATTATTATTATTAAGACCAAAAGATTTCTACATCGTTAAATTTAGAGACAAAAAGCTGTCATCTTATCTTGACTCATTTCAAAACTCAGTCGTATCTAAGGTGCACTTGAGTCACTTCCTACAGGATGACATCCACGAATAAATACGCAATTTGCATACAGATAATATGACGCAGACTGTCTACGCTGACAGCTCCCCTAACAGTGACAGTGGGAGAGAGGGGAGCGCTGTCAGCGTAAACCAGCCTGATGGTACTATAATACACAGATCTAATGGGATTAATAAGTGAACTACCACCTGACAAACCGAACCGTCATACTTGTTGATTTCAAGTTTGTTACAACTATCAGACACTTTAATTGTAAGCGACTGTCCTCATTACTTGTGCTAGTGACACCTGGATGTATCATACTTATGTGTGAAGTTTGGCACAGATATACACAAATTATTATGGGAGGGATTTTAGTTAACTCTTTCTAGATTCCTTCTCACATAGGCCTCCAAGAGCATGACGAAGATGATAACTTAAACTAACATCATAATTTTTAGTTTCTCCAAAAGGCGACTAAAAAAATTGTCAGAAAATAATTAATGGATCAATTGTTTTTCATTATAAAATGTGTCAAGTTAAAAATGTCTGTAGAGAAGGTGACAAAGTCGGTAGACTGCATAATGTTACTGCTAGACTAATGATAGGCTACAAGTATCACTGCTAGACTAATGATAGGCTACAAGTATCACTGCTAGACTAATGATAGGCTACAAGTATCACTGCTAGACTAATGATAGGCTACCAAGTATCACTGCTAGACTAATGATAGGCTACAAGTATCACTGCTAGACTAATGATAGGCTACAAGTATCACTGCTAGACTAATGATAGGCTACAAGTATCACTGCTAGACTAATGATAGGCTACAAGTATCACTGCTAGACTAATGATAGCTACAAGTATCACTGCTAGACTAATGATAGGCTACAAGTATCACTGCTAGACTAATGATAGGCTACAAGTATCACTGCTAGACTAATGATAGGCTACAAGTATCACTGCTAGACTAATTGATAGGCTACAAGTATCACTGCTAGACTAATGATAGGCTACAAGTATCACTGCTAGACTAATGATAGGCTACAAGTATCACTGCTAGACTAATGATAGGCTACAAGTATCACTGCTAGACTAATGATAGGCTACAAGTATCACTGCTAGACTAATGATAGGCTACAAGTATCACTGCTAGACTCTTGTTAATGATAGGCTACAAGTATCACTGCTAGACTAATGATAGGCTACAAGTATCACTGCTAGACTAATGATAGGCTACAAGTATCACTGCTAGACTAATGATAGGCTACAAGTATGACTGCTAGACTAATGACAGGCTACAAGTATCACTGCTAGACTAATGACAGGCTACAAGTATCACTGCTAGACTAATGATAGGCTACAAGTTTTCACTGCAGACTAATGATAGGCTACAAGTATCACTGCTAACAATGATAGGCTCAAGTATCACTGCTAGACTAATGATAGGCTACAAGTATCACTGCTAGACTAATGATAGGCTACAAGTATCACTGCTAGACTAATGATAGGCTACAAGTATCACTGGCAGTACTCTTGTTACTGCTAGACTAAGACTAAGCTATAAATATCTCTGACAGTACAGTTTGTATACAAATGTCAATGATATTAAATGCAAAACGCGTGGACAGAGACAGGGCCATACACTAGTGTGGACAGAAACAGGGTCATACACTAGTGTGGACAGAAACAGGGCCATACACTAGTGTGGACAGAAACAGGGCCATACACTAGTGTGGACAGAAGCAGGGCCAAACATTACTGTGGACAGACAGGGTCATACACTAGTGTGGACAGAAACAGGGCCATACACTAGTGTGGACAGAAACAGGGCCATACGCTAGTGTGGACAGAGACAGGGCCATACACTAGTGTGGACAGAAACAGGGTCATACACTAGTGTGGAGAGAAACAGGGTCATACACTAGTGTGGACAGAGACAGGGCCATACACTAGTGTGGACAGAAACAGGGCCCTACACCAGTGTGGACAGAAATAGGGCCATACACTAGTGTGGAAAGAGACAGGGTCATACACTAGTGTGGACAGAGACAGGGCCATACACTAGTGTGGACAGAGACAGGGCCATACACTAGTGTGGACAAAAACAGGGCCATACACTAGTGTGGACAGAAACAGGGCCATACACTAGTGTGGACAGAAACAGGGCCATACACTTGTGTGGACAGAAACAGGGCCATGGACAGAGACATGCTATACAACAAAACACTATGTGAACATTAAAATGGTATAAAATACCGACAGGTTGTTAGGTAAGACATATATGCAACAGTTAGGTATCTTTATTTCGAAACGTTTCGCCTACACAGTAGGCTTCTTCAGTCGAGTACAGAAAAGTTGATAGAAGCAGAAGAGACTTGAAGACGATGTAATCAGTCCATCACCCTTAAAGTTTTGAGGTGGTCAGTCCCTCAGTCTGGAGAAGAGCATTGTTCCATAGTCTGAAACAATATGGAGTAGAAGTGACAGGATGGTGGAGCCTTATATAGCGCCAGGAGGTGAGACGTAGGTCACTAGTAGAACGCAGATGTTGGGAGGTCAGGTCCCTCTCAAATCCAGCCGCTCTCACTAGTAGAGGTTGTCGAAGTTGATTTCAGGTCTGTACCAAGATACCCTTGTGTTGCAGTGTCTGACAGATTGAACATTAAAATGGTATAAAATACCGACAGGTTGTTAGGTAAGACACATATGCAACAGTTAGGTATCTTTATTTCGAAACGTTTCAGACTATGGAACAATGCTCTTCTCCAGACTGAGGGACTGACCACCTCAAAACTTTAAGGGTGATGGACTGATTACATCGTCTTCAAGTCTCTTCTGCTTCTATCAACTTTTCTGTACTCGACTGAAGAAGCCTACTGTGTAGGCGAAACGTTTCGAAATAAAGATACCTAACTGTAGCATATGTGTCTTACCTAACAAAACACTATGTATTAGTGTGTCCAAACATACAACTTTTCAGAGACAAACTTTACAGGAAATAGCAAGGCACTTCATTGTTAATGATTAGATATCTGATATCTTGAAATTATATCCACATTTTGCGCCGACTAGATGAATTAATTTATTTTTCTTTATGAGACTGCAACCTAATAATGATCAGTGTTTTAGTGATAATAATATATACTTTGAAAGTTCTCGTTCAACAGACTTTTGGACCTGTCCCGTAGATTGATCTTTTTTAGTTTAATATTTTTATCATGCACCCCATACCCATCCTATCTAGGTTGATCGCTTGCTCACTCAGCTCACACACTGAGGTCCGGAGTTCGAATCTCCTCCGGTACGGCTGAAAAACATTAGGGACATGTTTCCATAAGACACCTGCTGTCCCTGTTCACTCATCAGTAAAATGGATACCTGGGAGTTAGTCGACTGGTGTGGGTCGCATCCTGGGACAATTTATCCGAAATGCTCTACATAACAAGGAGCTTTCTATATAATAGTATGTCATTGACGTCAGCTAGGCCTGTATACCTTGTACATGTAACTGCAGTAAATATAGATATTATTATATTATTATTATATTACCTATTGGTTCCCCACTTAGAGCTCTTCTGGCGAACCTTTACGTGGAACATTTTGAATTATTATTATAATCAAAAAGAAGCGCTAAGCCACAAGGGCTATACAGCGCTGGGAACATTTTGAAGCCGAGCGATTTTTCTTCGTTATTCCCTCCTCCATCACCTGGCTCCACTTTGTTGACGACATCTTCATTATAACTCCTAGAAAGTGGAGGTTCCCTGCACTCCAACACAAGCTTAACCAGGTCCAGCCCACCATCCAATTTGCAGTTGAAGAAATCAACTGTACTGTTTCCTTGATACTCTGCTCTGCAACTCGGACCATGAACTAAGGTTAAGGGTAGACCGCAAACCCACCAACCAATACCATCTTCTCTGTTGCTAAACAAACTATGGAACGGGTGAGGTCTGAACCCATGGCGAGTCGTAAAACTCAAGACCTGGAGTTTTACGACTCGCTCGTCATGGCTTCAAACCCCACCCGTTCTGTGGTTTGTTTCCAACTGTATTATTACGATTTCGTGAGTGGAGTTCTGATTGTATTCACAAAGCGTGAGTCATCTTAGGCTTCTTCCTACGTGCTGTCTGTATCTGGAGTAATAAATTCCTTACAAACCAATGCTTTTTCTTTCTCGAATAAGTCTTTTTTAAACTTCAAAATCCTCGTCCTTTCATGAAGATTACAGACGCCGTGTACATAATGTCTTCAACTCATCTAAATGGGATTCCATCGATAAAAGATACATAGTTCTCCCTAACACATCTCCAATATTCTCACCAAGACCAAACTGCAGGTAGCCACCTCTGCCTCCACTGCCACCAAGAACATCACAGTAAGATGCCACCAAGAACATCACAGTAAGAGACACCAACAAGTCCACGTCACTGCAGGGGTATACATAAGTTCTTCCATCTATGACATGTGGGCGAAACATATGGAGACCTTCACACACGCATCCCAGTGTTGCATGACCCTTGTCGGTTTAGCGCTTTATTTGATTATAATAATAACACACATGCATCTCTGACGACCAATACAATAGAAAGTGGAAGACTTGAATAACGTCTGTGTTGCAATCTGAAACTTCCACAACCACTTGATTCTCGACTCACTGCCAGGGAAGAAAACTCCCAGAGATACAGCATCCTAGAAGACTCTCAGAGATACAGCATCCTAGAAGACTCTCAGAGACACAGCATCCTAGAAGACTCTCAGAGATACAGCATCCTAGAAGACTCTCAGAGACATAACATCCTAGAAGACTCTCAGAGATACAGCATCCTAGAAGACTCTCAGAGATACAGCATCCTAGGAGACTCTCAGAGACACAGCATCCTAGAAGACTCTCAGAGACACAGCATCCTAGAAGACTCTCAGAGACACAGCATCCTAGAAGACTCTCAGAGATACAGCATCCTAGAAGACTCTCAGACACAGCATCCTAGAAGACTCTCAGAGACACAGCATCCTAGAAGACTCTCAGAGACGCAGCATCCAAGAAAACTCCCAAAGATACAGCATCCTAGAAGACTCCCAGAGACACAGCATCCTAGAAGACTCTCAGAGACGCAGCATCCAAGAAGACTCCCAGAGACACAGCATCCTAGAAGACTCTCAGAGACGCAGCATCCTAGTCGACTCCCAGAGATACAACATCCTAGAAGACTCTCAGAGACGCAGCGTCCTAGAAGACTCCTAGAGACGCAGCATCCTAGAAGACTCACAGAGACGCAGCATCCTAGAAGACTCCCAGAGACGCAGCATCCTAGAATGATCACTTATTATCAAATCCAGTACATCAGTCAGAACAACGTCTTCTACAACATAGCTGAGCCTCATACCAGAAAACCTCTAGATCAGTTCCCACATAGTAACAGTTCATAGCATACAAGTATGAAAGAGCACTGTAATAACGCACCCGGCCGGCTTCTCATTTATATATTTGCCCAACCAGTTTTTAAGCTGCCCAGGGTTTCAGGTTCAACATGCCTAGCCTGGCTCTTTACGTCACTACACTGCCTATATATAGGCTTATCTTCCGTCCTCTGCATCTCTCTTGTCCAGCTGTACACATCCCATACACTAGTGAAAAGATAAAATAAGATTTGTTCGGATTTTTAACCCAGAGAGTTAGTTACCCAGTGCGTCATCGAGGACTGTCTTATTTCCATTGTGGTCATTCAGTCTTGTCCCCCAGAATGCCACCCACACCAGTCGATTAGCACCCAGGTACCTACTTACTGCTAGGTAAACAGGGACAGCAGGTGGAAGGAAACATGACCAACGTTTCCACCCGAGCCACGGGGCACCACAGGCCATTGAACTGAAGAAACTACTGGTGGGCGAAACGTTTCCAGGATAAGATACCCAAATGCTGCACATGTCAGCTTTCTAAACCATTTTTTTCAAACTAGTGTATTATAACTTACCTATTATATAATAAATTATCTGAACTTGTACCCATTGTATAAGAACTTACCTGTTGTGCTTATTATAACTTACCCGCTGTGGCTCACCTGCTACGATAGCTCTTGTGATCTCTGAGTGAGACTTAAAGTGAATATTTCACAGGTGTAAGACACACACAAGTTTGATCAGCAGTGAGACACAACCTGTTGACGTACGTTGATATTTATCTCTGTGAAGATGGCTGTGTGGGCGTCTTGACCTGGTATGTGATGAGTGAGCACTCAGTAAACCTGGTCTGTGGTGAGTGAGCACTCAGTAAACCTGGTCTGTGGTGAGTGAGCACTCAGTGAACCTGGCCTGTGGTGAGTGAGCACTCAGTGAACCTGGTCTGTGGTGAGTGAGCACTCAGTGAACCTGGTCTGTGGTGAGTGAGCACTCAGTGAACCTGATCTGTGGTGAGTGAGCACTCAGTGAACCTGGTCTGTGGTGAGTGAGCACTCAGTGAACCTGGTCTGTGGTGAGTGAGCACTCAGTGAACCTGGTCTGTGGTGAGTGAGCACTCAGTGAACCTGGTCTGTGGTGAGTGAGCAAACGTTGAGCTGCGCTAAACCTTTATAAACTGTCAGTCGGTACCTCACCTTTGATGTCTTGATCTCGGCCATCCCCTTTGACGTCACTGACCGCCAACATGACGACTCCACGAGTACCGTTGGCGCCTTTGTCAAAAGAACTGACGTATTGGCTACTGAAGCTTTTGTTATGACGTCAGGCGTCCCACTCCTGTCGATAACACACTGCCACTGTACGTCGACAAATGTCGAACCGAACGGGAACCTCAGCCTCACAATATACACTTGTTGCATGTGTGCCAAGCACTGCTGTTATTGATGACAGCAGTGTTATTATTGATGATACCAGTGTTATTGATGACAGCAGTGTTGTTATTGATGATACCAGTGTTGTTATTGATGACAGCAGTGTTGTTATTGATGACATCAGTGTTGTTATTGATGACAATAGTGTTGTTATTGATGATACCAGTGTTGTTATTGATGACAGCAGTGTTGTTATTGATGACATTAGTGTTGTTATTGATGACAATAGTGCTGTTATTGATGATACCAGTGTTATTGATGACAGCAGTGTTGTTATTAATGACAACAGTGTTGTTATTGAGGACAGCAGTGTTATTGATGACAACAGTGTTCTTATTGATGGCAGCAGTGTTGTTATTGATGACAGCAGTGTTGTTATTGATGACAACAGTGTTCTTATTGATGACAACAGTGTTGTTATTGATGACAACAGTGTTGTTATTGATGACAACAGTGTTGTTATTGATGACAGCAATGTTGTTATTGATGACAGCAATGTTGTTATTGATGACAGCAGTGTTGTTATTGATGACAGCAGTGTTGTTATTGATGACTACAGTGCTCTTATTGATGACAGCAATCTTATTGATGACAGCAATGTTGTTATTGATGACTGCAATGTTGTTATTGATGACAGCAATGTTGTTATTGATCACACCAGTGTTATTGATGACAGCAGTGTTATTGATGACAGCAGTGTTATTGATGACAGCAGTGTTACTGATGACAGCAGTGTTGTTATTGATGACAGCAGTGTTCTTATGGATGACAGCAGTGTTGTTATTGATCACAACTGTGTTGTTATTGATGACAACAGTGTTGTTATTAATGAAAGCAGTGTTGTTATTGATCACAACTGTGTTGTTATTGATGAAAGCAGTGTTGTTATTGATAGTGTTGTTATTGATCACAACTGTGTTGTTATTGATGACAGCAGTGTTGTTATTGATAGTGCTGTTATTGATCACAACTGTGTTGTTATTGATGACAGCAGTGTTGTTATTGATCACAACTGTGTTGTTATTGATGACAGCAGTGTTGTTATTGATCACAACTGTGTTGTTATTGATGACAGCAGTGTTGTATGATCACAACTGTGTTGTTATTGATGACAGCAGTGTTGTTATTATGACAGCAGTGTTGTTATTGATCACAACTGTGTTGTTATTGATTACAGCAGTGTGTTATAATGACAGCAGTGTTTTATTGATCACAACTGTGTTGTATTGATTACAGCAGTGTTGTTATTCATTACAGCAGTGTTGTTATTGATCACAACTGTGTTGTTATTGATTACAGCAGTGTTGTTATTAATGACAGCAGTGTTGTTATTGATCACAACTGTGTTGTTATTGATTACAGCAGTGTTGTTATTAATGACAGCAGTGTTGTTATTGATCACAACTGTGTTGTTATTGATGACAGCAGTGTTGTTATTGATAGTGTTGTTATTGATGACAGCAGTGTTGTTATTGATCACAACTGTGTTGTTATTGATGACAGCAGTGTTGTTATTGATCACAACTGTGTTGTTATTGATAAGAGATAAGATAAGATTTCGTTCGGATTTTTAACCCCGGAGGGTTAGCCACCTGGAGTTTTACCTGGAGTTTACCTGCAGAGAGTTCCGGGGGTCAACGCCCCCGCGGCCCGGTCTGTGACCAGGCCTCCAGGTGGATCAGAGCCTGATCAGCCAGGCTGTTACTGCTGGCTGCACGCAATCCAACGTACGAGCCACAGCCCGGCTGGTCAGGAACCGACTTGTCCAGTGCCAGCTTGAAGACATCCAGGGGTCTATTGGTAATCCCCCTTATGTATGCTGGGAGGCAGTTGAACAGTCTCGGGCCCCTGACACTTACTGTATGGTCTCTTAACGTGCTAGTGACACCCCTGCTTTTCATTGGGGGGATGTTGCATCGTCTGCCAAGTCTTTTGCTTTCGTTGTGAGTGATTTTCGTGTGCAAGTTCGGTACTAGCCAGGATAACCCAAGAAAGTCAGTGCGTCAAAGAGGACTGTCTAACTTATTTCCATTGCGGTCCTTAATCTTGTCCCCCAGGATGCGACCCACACCAGTCGACTAACACCCAGGTACCTATTTGCTGCTAGGTGAACAGAACAACAGGTGTAAGGAAACGTGTCGAAATATTTCCACCCTCAGACATGGGAAATCTGGAAAAACAGATGGGACGTGCAACTATGACGAAGCCTAGTTGATCAGGCCCTGATCCATCGGGAGGCCTGGTCATGGACCGGGCCGCGGGGGCGTTGATCCCCGGAATAACCTCCAGGTAACCTCCAGGTATGACCACCCTAGAAAATGCCGTGCCCATATGACAACAGGAAAATGCAAACTCCCTTCCTGTAAGCTTTTTCACCCTGAAATGTGTACCTCTTCAGTACAGGAAAGACTGTGCTATAACTTAAATTGCCAGGCACACCATCTAAAGGGGACAAAAAGATACAAAACATCCAGGCCATGGGAAAACCTGGGTAGTCACAGCCACTCAAGAGGCAGAGGTTTTTTAGTGCCAGGAAGGAAAAAAAAACTGGCAGGAAATGGCAGAAATTGTACACCAAATCCAGTCATTCCTGGAGTGGAACCACAGTCGATGGCCTCCACTCCAAACCAACAGATACAGATACTAATGCCGGAAAAAAATCCCCCCCAGTACCAACAATACCACCAGTCCGATGACATTCTTCTTTGCAAATATACAGGGTCTAAAGCCAGCAACAAACAACAAAATACTTTTCATCCGTGGACTGCTTGCAGAGGCAAAGGCAATGTTCGCGGCTTTCACTGAGACCCACATAAAGGATCACTTAGACAACGAAATATGGATCCCAGGTTACAACCTATACAGATGTGACAGAGTGAACAGGCAAAAGGGGGGGGGGGGGTTGGCCTGTACATTGCAGAGTCACTTGTTTGCACAGAACTGCTTAATGCCTCAAATGATGTAGTGGAAGTTTTAGCAGTAAAGGTCGAGAACCAAAACTAGTCATTGTGGTAGTCTACAAGCCTCCGGATGCAACATCCCAGCAATTCCAGGAACAGCTGTTAAAAATTGACCACTGTCTGGAAAATCTTCCAGCTCCTGCACCCAACATCTTGCTCCTGGGGATTTCAACTTAAGGCACCTAAAATGGAGGAATATAGCAAATAATATTGTTGCAGTAATAACACCAGGAGGCACCTCTGATGAAAACTCACACTCACACGAGCTTTTAAATCTCTGCACAAAATTCAATTTAAACCAGCAAATAGTAGAGCCTACTAGAATGGAGAATACACTAGACCTCATCTTCACTAACAATGATGATCTGATAAGAAATGTCACCATATCAAAAACAATATACTCAGATCACAACATAATTGAGGTTCAGACATGTATGCGCAGAGCCCCAGACCGACAAAATGAGATTAGTCACGAGGGAGCATTCACCAAATTCAACTTCAATAACAAAAACATAAAGTGGGACCAAGTAAACCAAGTCCTAACCGATATAAGCTGGGAAGATATACTAAGCAACACAGACCCCAACTTATGCCTAGAACAGATTAACTTGGTGGCACTCGATGTATGCACAAGACTTATTCCTCTAAGAAAAAGGAGGAGTAGATGTAAAATAGAAAGAGACAGGCGCTCTCTTTACAGGCGACGGAAAAGAATAACAGAGCGGCTAAAAGAGGTCAATCTATCTGAAATGCGTAGGGAGACACAGGTCAGAGAAATAGCAAACATCGAACTTAAGCTAAATGAATCTTATAGGAGTCAGGAATCGCGGGAAGAACTAAAAGCCATAAATGAAATCGAAAGAAACCCAAAGTATTTCTTTTCCTATGCCAAATCAAAGTCGAGAACAACGTCCAGTATTGGGCCCTTACTTAAACAAGATGGGTCCTACACAGATGACAGCAAGGAAATGAGTGAGCTACTCAAGTCCCAATATGACTCAGTTTTTAGCAAGCCACTAACCAGACTGAGAGTCAAAGATCAAAATTATTTTTTATGAGAGAGCCACAGAATTTGGTTAACACAAGCCTATCTGATGTTATCCTGATGCCAAATGACTTCGAACAGGCGATAAATGACATGCCCATGCACTCTGCCCCAGGGCCAGACTCATGGAACTCCGTGTTCATCAAGAACTGCAAGAAGCCCCTATCACGAGCCTTTACCATCCTATGGAGAGGGAGCATGGACACGGGGGTCGTCCCACAGTTACTAAAAACAACAGACATAGCCCCACTCCACAAAGGGGGCAGTAAAGCAACAGCAAAGAACTACAGACCGATAGCACTAACATCCCATATCATAAAAATTTTGAAAGAGTCCTAAGAAGCAAGATCACCACCCATCTAGAAACCCATCGTTACACAACCCAGGGCAACATGGGTTTAGAACAGGTCGCTCCTGTCTGTCTCAACTATTGGATCACTACGACTAGGTCCTAGATGCACTAGAAGACAAAAAGAATGCAGATGTAATATATACAGACTTTGCAAAAGCCTTCGACAAGTGTGACCATGGCGTAATAGCGCACAAAATGCGTGCTAAAGGAATAACAGGAAAAGTCGGTCGATAGATCTATAATTTCCTCACTAAGAGAACACAGAGAGTAGTAGTCAACAGAGTAAAGTCCGAGCAGGCACGGTGAAAAGCTCTGTTCCACAAGGCACAGTACTCGCTCCCATCTTGTTCCTCATCCTATATCTGACATAGACAAGGATGTCAGCCACAG